ATGGGACTTGATCACAGGACCCCGGGATCATGACCTGAACTGAAGGCAGATGCTTAATTGACTGATTCACCCAGGTACCACATGGGGGAAGTCTCCATAGAGAAGTATCACCTCTGAAAGTCAGGATCTTACACTACATTATCCTTTGTGGTTTGGGGACTTAACTAGCAAAATCAAAAGGGAGAATTTCCTGGTATTCTTAAAAATTAATTTAACTACTGAGGAAAGCAATGAAAATTAGAAAGATTTTCTCGCTGACTGTAATTAATACATTGTAAGAAAGAAGAGGGACTGAACTGTGATGAAATGAGCTATGGCAGAAAATAAATCCAAGTTTCACTAAATCAACTTGGAAGACTCACTTGGGCTTACTAAACTTTATGCTCCATTTTAAAATGAAAAATATGGTGATGCCTGGATGGCTCAGTGGGTTAAGTCTCTGCCTTCCGCTTGGGTTGTGATCTCAGGGTCCTAGGATCGAGCCCCACACTGGGCTCTCTTCCCCACTCTCTCTGCCTGCCTCTCTACCTGCTTGTGATCTCTCTCCCTCTCTGTCAAATAAATAAAATGAAAAATATGATGAAAATGACCAGCAAGACTCCAAAAGCTAAGAACTAAATATGAGCCGATATTATGTCACATCGACCCATTTTCAGCTCCTCCTGGCCTTGCACGATGCAGGACAGGGCCCCAGCAGGGCAGAGGTATGGGAGAGGCTGCGATGGCAAAGCAAGCTATCAGGACTTACAAACCCAGTGGAACCTGAGGGGAAGTCCAACCTCAAAAAACCAGAGTGGGCTGGCTACCTGGTGCACACTCTCCACACTTGGAGACTTTCCAGCTAACCTTGGAGGCTCGGAGTTTGACTTCATGAATGAGAGAGCGGGCTGCCCCTATAGGAGTAAAGGATGACAGAGGCAGGGCTATGACTAGTACCCCCAAATACATTCAATACTACCCACTCGGCTAGAGGTAGCCCCAACCTAATTCATCTGGCCAACAGTCAATTCAATTCTTTCAAAAGCAACACTAGCATATCCGAGAAGCTTGTTAAAAATCCAAAACTCGGGCCCCACCCAAGGCCGACTAAATCAGAAACTCTGGGAGTGGGGCTAAGCAATCCACATTTTAAGAAGACTTTCAGGTGGGGCACCTGGGTGGCTCAGTGGGTTAAAGCCGCTGCCTTCGGCTCAGGTCAGGACTTCCAGAGTTCTGGGATCAAGCCCCATATTGGGCTCTTTGCTCAGCAGGGAGCCTGCTTCCTTCTGTCTACTTATGATCTCTGTCGGTCAAATAAATAAATAAAATCTTTAAAAAAAAAAAAAAGACGACTTTCAGGTGATTCTAATGTGCACTAGAGCGCACCGACGTAGAGAACAGATAAAAATGACTTTTTTCACAACAGTTCTACCCCTCCCCCAAATAATTACCAAAATTATTATTATTTATTACCATTAATTATTTACCAGAAGGTCAGAAAAATATTTCTTTTCCTTTTATATAAAATCAATTTGGGATTATCCTTACTGATTCAGAAAACCATGGAATGGATAACAAAGCCATTAATCACTGACTTAGGCACAACCTCTTATGAAAGATTCACCATCCTCACTCATTAGGCTTTACTTACCAAACTTCAGGGATATTCACTGAATCCCTAGCATCTACAACAGTCTGGCACAAATACTGGCTGAGTGAATAAATGGGCACAATGAATGGAGTTCCCGAGAAAGAGGGAGCTGGTGATGCTGCCTATCAACACAGAATCATTTGGAAACTAACTATGTCCTGTGCCTGATCCACAAAATAGTTAACGCGCACGCGCGCGCGCGCGCACACACACACACACACACACACACACCCCGCCAGAGATGGCTGCAAGTCTACTATACTGTCAAAACTCTTCTCTACAACTGGCTGCCTAGTCCCGGCTGCCTCCCAGCTGCAACAGCTGGTATGAGAAAAGACTTGTAAGAACCAACCCCCGCCCCGCGCCCTGATCTTCCCAGAGAGAGGTTCAACCATCCCCCTTGAGGATTTCTGAACAAGAATTATACAACTGGCACAGTATGAGGAGTGAGCATTCTGCAGGAGTCTCCTGTTGGAGTACTATTTTTAAAAAGGCAAACAAGAGGGAGACAAATTACAAGGAAGTTGCATTTTTACAGCAATTGGGAGAAAAAGCTTACTTCTTACCAGAAATGGAAACCCATATGATATCACTGTACTGCATATGAATTATTAATGTTTATCATTTTTTTTATAAATTAGGTATTCAGGAAGATTCCTGTTGACATCACGTTTGACATCATAATGCTTCATCATTCTAAAAGCTTAATGAGATTAATTATTGCTAGAAAAAAGGAGAGAGAGATCAAGCACACATTTTTGTACCCTGGGGAATACCAGAGACCAAGTAGATAATGAGAATATGGTCTATAATTGATGTACAAAGAGGAAATTAAAAAAGAAAAACCATTATGACCCACTACCACTGTAAACAGGACCGAATAGCAAGGACTTTATTTTTTTCCCCTGAGCATTTTGGAAAAGGGTGGGGCAGAGGAGGGGTGAACGGTCCGGACATGGGTGACTAGCACCTATCTCAAACTGTTAAGGCAGAAGCATTCTTATTCTAAAAAGAAATGTAAACAAAGTTTTTATAAAATTATCTCATCCACAAAGAGTATGGGACATGTGAAGATAGAAAAAGATAATATAACCCTGAGTCACAAGTCCTAAAAGGATACTATTAAATATATTAAAGCAATTCTGTGATAACAATTCTGTATGACTTGTCTAAATAATAACTCTGGTCTCAAATGTAATTTCAAATATATAGTTTCTGAGATTTACACAGATAAATTAGTGTTGAATCACTGAACCGGCAGTTTCATTCCCAACATTCTTAGTAAAAGGTTGGAATGAATTAAGCTCTTATTTGGAAATCCTGTTGATAAAGCAATGTGAGTTAAATTCCTATTCAGTTCAAACCTTTAACACTTCAGCCAAGTAGCAATGATATTACTACAAGTTTATACCAGATGCTAACAATTGGGACTCATTTTTCCTCCAGTTTTTTTCGCCATTTGCTAAATAACCTCTTGAGGGAAGTATTAAAACATGGAGAATGAATTCATTCATTCCTTCTTTCAATAAACAAACATGGAATAGCCAGAGTCGCCAGATATTAAATTGGGATTCTTGGTACTATGAAAGGCAGAAATATACAATTTCTCTTACACACCCCCGAAAAAAAAAATTACCACAGAGTTCATAAGTTGTCACCATTCTGAACTACTTCAATATCTTCACGTTGCCTTTTCAACAAGAAGGCAAAAGGCTATTTTTTAAAATAACATCCCTATTTAATTATCCCACCAAATATATCATTTTAACCCCATGAAATTGCTCCTGATGCTTTTTAAAAAAAATTTTTTTACTATTTCTTTTGTGGGGGGGGCGGGGGAGAAAAGCTTGAGAAAAGAAAAAGATAACGTTTGACACATGCCTCTGTAACAAATGTTCAATTCGTAAGTTGTACTGTCAAGATTCCGGGGCTCCAGCCTTTGGATATTTTATCATCACATGGTTAAGATTCAAAAGCTAGAAGAGAAAGTTTATACCTGGTACATAGTAGGTGCTCAGTAAATGGTCTTTTTTTGTTATCATGATTATTATATTAGTATATTATATGACTGCTACCAGAGAAATAATACCACTATAAATAAACTCAGGTAAGCTTCATGTTACAAAATCGGATCCTGTTATAATAAGTTCACTAAAAGGAGCTCTTGGTCTTCCAGACTCAAACCAACTCATGCCATCCTTCTCTTCACCTTTCCACTGAAGGCTGATTTGATCCAGTAAAAGCCAGGTGCCTATTCACCCTAGGCCAACTGTTGAATAACTTTTCAAGTCTAAACATAAAATTTTCTCTGCCAAATAATTAATTAATTAATTACGGTCCCTGGTAATCTATTGACCATGTAAAAGCTGTGATACTACACAACATTCAGAGTCATAGGGATGTATTTCTTTTTCCCTGTGCACAATGGAATGTGCCATTGTCATTCTGTTTGCTACAATGATAAAAGGACCAGTGGCCAGACTTACACAATGAAAACCCTCTTCAATTTCATAGTATTTTGAGAACATACAGGAGGGCCCTATTAACACAATCCTTTTTCTTCTGTCATTAAGAAATTGCTAGTGGCTGCTTTAATGATTTAAACACATTTTTCCCCCCACTTCCTCAAAATCCCACTCTCCTGTGAGATGAGAGGTATGTTCAGAATCTTTGTCCTCAGCTGCACTGCACTGCACACCGCTGCCCCTCATGGTAGCTCAGCTGACCCTCCAAACTCACAGCCAGGTGCCCTCAATTATGTCCAGGAGGCGGCCAACCCCAAGAAGGCACAAACAACAGGTTCCACTCTGGTCCTCTTCCTCTTTTTCCCTTCCTACATCTCTCCGCACAACACAAACACCCTCATTCATTCACAAATCCCCACGCTCGGCCCCTGTGGTGAAGACTCCGTGCAGCTGGCTCTCCCAGGTAAAAAGCTGTGCCCGAGGAACTACCGTATCCCTGCACCGGGTCTGCACCATTCACCTGCAAGGCAGGCGGATTCGAGCCCGGAGCTCAGATTTCATTCAGCCAGCCACCAGAGGCTCTCAATGATACCCACCCCACCTCCGGAGTTAAGGGAACCACAGCCTTCCTTCCCTCAGTGGGAAACGGGGCCAGCCCACAGGCTTCCCACCGCGCTCCCTTCTCCACCGGTCCCCTGGAACCAGCTCCCAGGACCCCTCCAGGGGTCTCTTCCGCTCACATTTCCTGGGCCCGCATCGCTCCCACACAGGAAAAGTAAACTCCTCCTTAGTGACAACCTCCCAAACCAACCGCGTCACGACCACTCAACTCTGCCGGAGCCCCCTACTCATGCCGGCCCCGCCCGGACGGGGCGGGCAGCCCCCCACCAGCCTGAGCCGTTTACCTTGACGCTGGTGTAGCTGGTCTGGGTCTCGGCCTCCGCGCTGCTGCAGCAGTGGCGCCTCCGGCCCCTGCAGGTGGTCGCGGCGGGGGCTGCGGAGCCCGCGCTGCTGCTGCTGCTGCTGCTGCTCCCGCCGCTGCCCAGCTCCGCGCGGGCCCTGCGGACGCGGGCGGCGCCGGGGGGTCCCGAAGCGCCGCTCGGGGGAATAACGTCGGCGGCGTCGGTCTGGACGAAGAGGCCGTGTGGGGGGGCCGCGGGGCCCTGCGACACGCTGGTGGTCTGGCGGGGCGAGTTGGACTCGTCCGAGTCCCGGCAGTAGATCACGCCGCTCTGCGAGACGTGGATGCTGGGGGCGCAGCCCATCCCTCAGCCGGGCTCCCCCGCGCGCCGGCCCGCGCCCCCGGCCGCCGGGACCCGCGGCACCCGCGGCCACCTGCAGTGAGGGGGCGGGCGCCTCGGCGGCCTCGGAGGCACCCGGACTGCGCGCCCCCCGGCCTGCCTGGCCGCCGCTCCGTCGGGCTCGCCGCGGCGGCTCCAGCCGAGCCTCGGGGGGCTGCGCGCGTCACCCCAACTTTCCCTTCTGGGCCATCTTCCTCCCCGAGCGGGAGAGCGCGCACACACAGCGCCCCGCGCGCACCGGCGGCCGCCACCCTCCCTGCCGCGGCGCCCCAAACACGCTCCCCGCGCCTCCGCCTTCCCCTCCTCCCTCGGCTCGGCCCGCGCCGCCGCCCAGTTCAACCTTGCCGGGCTCCCGCGCCCGCGGCCCCTGGGCCACGGCGCCCGCCCGCCTGCACCTTCTTTCCCCACTTTCGGTCCGCGTCCGTCCCCCTCCCGCTCTCGCTCCCACCCTCCTTCCTCTCCGAGTGCTCCCGCTCGGGCCCCACTGCGCCCCCCCGCCCGCCTGGCGCTCCCTGAGCTCTCCCCGGCTGGGCGAGATTTTATGATTCGGCTCGGCCCCTGGGGCCCCAGCGCGCAGCAGCTGGCACCACGCCTCCGCGCCCGCCCTCCTCCTCCGCGGTCCGAGGCCTCGTCCCTTCTGCGCCCGCTACCCCTCGTGGACGCACCCCAGGCCGGCCCTAAGGGCTGTGCAGCCCAGGGGAGCCCTGCAATATGCCTCTTGCCCCTCACCAACACACCGTACCACACCCCTGAGCAAAACACCAAGACGCCCCTCCCCAACAGCCCAAGCCCACCCAACTGACTAGCTCTCCTCTTGGCGCACTCAGGTAACTAAGGAGAGACCTCATGCTTCCGTTAGTCCCCCCCACACCCCCCCCGCCCCCCCCGGCCCGGGGTCTGAGGACTGAATCTTCAGAAGTCCATTCCATGTCTAACCTCAACATTTGGAGGTTCATGCCACGGAATGAGAGACCCTGCAGAGGAAGGAACCCTTAAACAGACAAATTCCCTTAAGATCCTAAGATCCATGCAAGGAACAGAGGAAGCTGTCCGTGTGCTCTGGGCTTTCGCCTCCAGAGTTTTCACCTCCTGCTTGGATGTCACCTAATTTTCACCCTGAGTTCTACCCCATCCAGCCCCTTGTTGTCCAGGGCTCTCCCTCTGGGCTGGACATTCAAAACTGCCTTCCCTCACTTCCCCAGGTGAGGCATACATGGGCCAAGCTTCACTCAAGGAGAATAAGATACCTTTAGAAGCAAGGCTGCCATTCAGTCTCCCCATATGTGGATTTGAGATGCGAGACACCACTGCCATTCATTCATTGGCCCTTTTAGTGATTCCTGCCTGCTGCCACAGTGGCAGAGGGGAGAAATGGGGTGGTCTAAGAAAGGACTCAATCTAGAGTTGTTTACAAGGGCAAGGACAAGAACACAGAGTCATAATGCTAAATACAAAGAAGTATTCAATTTGAAATAATTTCTTTGCTTCTTCCCTTCCTCTCCTCATACCATCAACTTTTAGAGTGGCTGAAGACTTCGAATGACAGCTCCTAACCTTTATAGAAAACTGAGACGTCACCCCACATCCCAAATGCAAATATAGAGAGGGAAAAGAACTAGTCTAACCTAATTCTCTCTTTGTTTCTGTTTCTCAGTTTAGTACTCCAACCTTCCACCTTTTTGTCTTTTTTTTTTTTTTTTTTTTGATGGCATGAAAAAGTCTATCTTTGGTTGGTTATTGCAGAAAAAGTCTATGCTGTATCTCTAATGGACAGGCAAATTGCTCATAAAATTTCTGGGCAGGTTAGGTTTCTCCAAGAAGCAAATTCTACGATGGTGTTTAGCAGGCAAAAAAAAGGTTTATTCTTTCTTGGAATCTACAACTGGAAGGGAAGGAGGAGGAGGGTTGGGGGAAGAGATTGAGCTAGGCTGTGGTCTTAATAAAAGCCTCAGCTCTCCCTAAGGTGTCGGGGGGTGGGGGGGATGGATTCTGTAGTTGAGGTGAGGATTCAAAATTGTCCTGAGGTAAAGCTGGGAGGATGGGCCCTTCTATTTCCACAAGATGCTTGTAGGCCACCTCAGCAACTGTGCAGAAGGTGGCTCTCTTCAGCTGAGCCAGTCCCCTTAGGAGACCAACAGCTGAACTGAGGGCTGTCTGCTGGCAGCTCTCCACCAGCCAGAGTGGTATTCTTTCCCGGCATCATGACCTCTTCCACAGTTCCCTCCAGGCTCCCTGGGTCCATACTTACTTGGCCCTACCCATGCCCATAAGAGCACCACATTAAATGGTCAAGACAGATAAGAGAGATAATCATTCATTTGAAAAAGGCCCAAGTCTCAAGGCTGCCATCTGCTCTGCTTCCAACGGACTGTTCAGAATCTGAGCAAATACCATCAGAGTTAAATTCCAAAACTGCTGCTCTCCATACCAATCCCAGATTCATGTGAAATCACGAGTTAATCATTCCTAAAGCTAATCTATGATTCTCTCATATATGATCATTTCAGTCATCCTTCAAGGAGCACCCAGGGGCAGCTTTTTGTGAAACTTAGAGCCATTTTAATTGTCATGCTACAGTGACCACTTCAGAGTTTCCTCTAGGAATGTGGTCACTATGAGGAAACCACTCAGAGAAAAGGACCAGTCACTGGCTGAGGCTTTTGAAGACAAGAAGATAAAACAGAAATTACAAGCAGTCTTCTGGTGGAGAACACTAGAGGCTGGATCATGAAGGGACAAGTCAACCAGAAACCAATTCAGGTTGATCTTTCTGCATTAAAAAAAAAATTAAAAGAACAACAAGAAGATTAAGCCTTGAAAGAGTAAGTAACATCAAGGTAGCTATCAAACAGTATGAAGCTGCTTTAGCATATTAATTGAACACTGTACTGGGACCAGTGCCTTTTTCCCTGAATGCAGCTCTTCTCAGCAGAAGATGGAATGCACTAGGTATACATTTTCCACCCATTCCCAGAGCAGCAAGAGTTCCAATATCTTCCGCAGAGGCAGCTTCCACTGCCAATGCTGATTTAGTAAAAGGGAAAAAAATAATGCATCCTTATCATCTCCAGCAAGTGTTCTCAGTGGGAATGTGTAACCTGTCCTGTTGTGGGCACAGTTCTGGTCACTGAAACATGTGCAAGTGAAGGAGAAATGGCTGAGCTGAAATCATTCCCTAGCTTTGCTCTGCGGCCTGAGTTCTTGCTTGTATATGTGATTTCTGGACTGATTCCCACGCCACAATCTCAATGCATTCCAAGACAACAGTAAAGCCTACAAGCTCAGACACTGGAGATAACATTTAGGCTCAAGTTACATAATAGGGTCAGAGAAACCAACATTATAAAAAAAAAAAATTAAATTAGGTGGGAAAAAAATTTAGTTACAGTCAATGACCAAGAAACAAATCAAAGCAAACAACACCAGAAATTTCTTTAAAAACTGAACCTCAGATCTGTCCAGGGTCCACTGAATGGCCTGTATGTTTCATACTGATGTCAAATAAGAGCTTATTTCAGAAGTAGGACCCAGAGGCACTGGAAGACCATGAACGGTTAAGGTCTTTTCCCATTTTTCTAAACTGGCATGACTCTTCCAGAACTCCTCTAAAGAAGCAGAAAATGGGATTAATACATTCTGCATGACTCTTCACCAGAAAGGTTAAAACAATAGCAGCTTTCTGATTGATCTTTGGATAACCAAACATTTAATCAACCAAGCAACCTTACAGAGCTTCCGGATTCAAACTACATTCTTAACGGTGGAACTTACTGGAAATCTAATCACCTGATAAGTGAAATGAGAGACTCTGTTAAGAAGCAGCCTGGTACAGTGGAAGGTTCACTGAACTCAGAGTGAAGAGGGGGAATCCGACACCCACTGCTGCCTTCGAGAGCTGTCTAACCTCGGGCAAGTCACTTAACCTCAGAGCCCTAATTTCCGAGAGACTCTCCAAAATCTCTAAATCACCAACACTTGGGGATGCTATGAAATTTCTACTTCCTTTTACTAAATTACTTTTCATTTAGAATAGTGAAATCCTTGAATGCAAAGAGTGATATCAAACCTAACTGCACATCAGAATCATCCTAAAGAATTTGTCAGAAATAACAACAGCTCCCTGGTCCCATCCCAGAGGCTTGGATTCAGGGGTCAAGGACAGGTCCAGCACCTGCCAGCAAAGAAAGCAAGTTCAGTGTACCCTTTCCACAGACTCCTTTGGGGAACTAGAGTAGAAATCACAGTCCTTATAAGAGCCTACAAAACCCTCGCTGATGTGGCCCCTGCTGACCTTTCTCAGCCCTCTTCCCTCTTGCCCTGGCTCTCTCTGCATCAGCCCCACTGGCCTCCTTGCTGCTTCTCCAGGACGCTGAACATTATTACCAGGGGCTCTTGCCTCTGTTATTCTGTTCCATCAAATATCACAGGGCTTACTTCCTCACCTCCCTTAAGTCTCTGCTCAGATGTCGCCTACACAATAACTCCTGTTTAAAATCACAACCCACTTCCCTCCATTGTCTCTCCATCACTCCTGATTCCCCTCAGCTTGCTCTATTTTTCTTTCTTCGTGGCACTTATCACCTTCCAGCTTATTATATAATTAGCTCGTTTATTATTATGCTGATTGTCTATCTTCTCCCACTAGAACATAGGCCCGACTAGGGCAGGAATTTCTTGGCTTCTTATTCACTAAAGGATCCAAAATTCCTCAAACAGTGTCTAGCACACAGTAGGAGTTCAAATATTTGTTGAATAAATGAACAAATTTTCTTCTATTTCTTCCTCTTTTGCCTCTCTCTTAACTGTTATGACTCAAAATTGGGTATTTTTTTCTTTAAATGAGTAGAATTTGATGTTCTATGCTCTTAGTTTTTAAAGTCAGTTTGATCTGATAATCCTCCATTTGGTAATATACATCAGAAAAAGCCAATGGAATAAAACAATAATTTATACAAAGATGTTTGTAACACTCTTTGCAGTAATGAAACTGGAGATAATACAAATATCAAAGACTTGGGGAATCGCTCAACAAACTATACTAACATGTCAGAATATCACTGTTTAAAAGTGCATAATGAGGGGCGCCTGGGTGGCTCAGTGGGTTAAAGCCTCTGTCTTCAGCTCAGGTCATGATCCCAGGGTCCTGGGATCAAGCCCCATGTCGGGCTCTCTGCTCAGAAGGGAGCTTGCTTCCCCCTCTCTCTCTGCCTGCTTCTCTGCCTACTTGTGATCTTTGTCTGTCAAATATATAAATAAAATCTTTTTTTAAAAGTGCATAATGAAATAATGTTAGGTTAAAAATATATGGTATATGGAGATTGATTACAACTATGGAAGATGTGTTTCTATCTGTCAAGGTTCCTAAATGGATGTAAAGTGACACAGAGAAGAA